CCACTGTGCACTGGCACAGTCTTTGAACTTAAACTTTCAAGGGACAGTGGAGCATCATGCAAGGTAACACTGACTCGCTTGGCTCTATCTTCCTACATCCTACGAAATCTTCCAAACTTCTTACTGGTTTCTGTGAAGGATCTGGAAGACCAAAGCTTAAAATTTAGGCTCTGCTACTTTCCTGTGGGCATCCATTGGAGAGAACCATCTTGGAATCACTGATACTCCATCTGGTTTGATATTAGAAGCAGTTGCTCTTACCTGGCCAAGTTCATGGATTTTATTTCTTCCAAATTTCATAACACCATCAAGCATAAAGCACATCTATAAATGTTGTTGTTACCTGGAGTGACATGGCGGCCATGCACATATGCATGAGAAGCTTGGCCGAGAACATGGAGAAGACTGAGCAGACGATGTGAGCAATGATGGCACACAGCAGGCCCAACTGCACAGAGAGTGAAACAAGTTATTCATGTTGGTGAATCTGTGTTTGGCTGATTAATTTCATTCCTGCTGTTCTCCTCACTAAATTTCAAATACTGATTTTGTTAGAACAGGTGAAAGTAAAAACTACATCAATTAGAAACGTATAAAATAAAAGGTTTTACTGCACAGTTTTTTAAGTTTGGAATTTGTAAATTTAACATCGGCGTGGTGAATACACGTTAAGTGTGTTCAGCATCTCATGGGAAAGGATACATTAAACTTAACTGTCAAAAAGGGGAATTTACTTTAGAAATAGTTATTCTTTAGTGTACCAAGTAAACTAAATGGTCATAAAAAAATTTCATGATAAACAATGAAAACTTCCTAAAATATTTCTATAACCATATCTACAAAGATGGACAATTTTGATTAGATCCAAAAAATTGAATTGTAAGGTATTAAACACATAGCTCACTGATTAGCTTCTTCCACAAGTTGGTACACGGTAATAAAGACTAGGGAATTGTTTTTGCCAAAACATGGACAGAGAGGAACCAACTCATTATTTTGGTCAAGAGGAATTAGCTTTCCTGCTTGATAAACTCCAATCATTTTTACTTACAATGCAGATGAAACAAAATGCATAGATGTAGACGTTGTAACCAACAAGGTTATCTGTCTCGCCTTGGGCTGCATTGTCAGACAAGTGAGTGCATGAACACTCCACATAGATACCCTGATCAATCTGTGAACAAAAGACAGGAGAGAGAATTGACCAATGGCAGGCTCTGACTGATGCCTCTAAAGTGTGACAGCCATTCACAAAACCTCACTCATCAAGTGAATGCAGAAATATTTCATCTGACCAATCAAAAGACCCTTCCCCTCACACGTTACTGAATCAGCAGGACTGTCTCACATCAAAGCATCATCATCAAACCCACAGTCAAGAGACCTACCAGGACTTGGCAGTCGTTGGTTCTCCAGCGCTCTGTGGGTCCATTGAAGATGACTATCAATACCTGGCTCCGAGGGGGGTCACCTGGGCATTGTCGCCTTACATGTGGTAAGTGACCAGGCTGGACACCCTGGTGAAATTCTACTCTGCCCCTTTGATGGCTACCAATAAAACCTGAGCGAAAAATATGAGCACAAAATATAATCAGGTGAGTTTTTCTTCCCAAAATTATGTTGGCCATTCAACTAGAATGTCAGTAAAACTTTTAGGAATGCCAGATCATATTAACAAAGCACATCAATACCTGGTTATTGAGAGAAGAGAACCAGCCCATAGCAATTCTCTCACAAGCCAAACCATATTAAAATCAGTTTGCAGTTCAGCTCATAAATAGAAAAAGCAAAACGACAGCTGAAAAAATGACACAGATATCACATAACAGACAATGATAACCACTGGCGTTAGTCGATAATCCATTCATACTAATAGTTAGGGGTTTCGTTAAAATTTCACTCAATTTCCTCTGTCGGTGTTACTTTTCCTGGAAGTTGTGGCCGTTGATTCTACCCCGAGACCATCGGCCTGTATCCGCCACAGCATGATTGCAGGACAGTGTCTGGAGGTCCGTTGTCTCACAATGCAGGTCTGTCACAAGGATGAAGGCACACAAGCTGAAGGATTCCACCAGCTCGTATGCACTCCTGGCTGTGCAGAGTTCATCAACAGGGTTTATGTGGCGTGACGGCTCCAGCAAACACACTGGAACATTCTGCCAATATTTCATGAAATTTGCCAAACTTTTTTGATAATTTTCAAACTTGATCAGTTAAATAATGGTAAACTAGCTCAAACTTGCAATGAAAATCATGTGAAAAATTTCTGGTGTCATGATATTTAATTAGGTGGTGCTCCAAATTTGGGTACAAAATTGAGCTGAGAGCCCCCTAATATGGCTTATTTGAAAAGCACAATTGAACAATCTAAAAGAGAAAAATCCCTATAAGCTGAGTCCCTTGACTGAAAGTTCTATTTTCAATTACGCTCAGTTTTTCCAAGAAAATCATTCTCTTAATATTAGGCACGTCTGAAGAAAATTTAAGAAATTGTGCCAAAATAACGTCATACTGGTAATTTTATAATGGGTCACCAACTGGTTATTTGTGACCTGTCATGTCATAAGGAGAAACATTCCCTAAAACCTTGTTTTGAGTAATCAGCCCCTGAAGTTGGATGTACGTGAAAAATCATGCAAAAATCACTTTTCAGTTTTTTAGGTTTTTAGACAGGTTAGGTGTCAAAGATTTCCTCTAGCTATGCCATTTGCGCAAGAAAATCAAGCAAAGGCGATAAAAAGGAGGATTTCTGGAGTGACTTTGTTTCAGTCTTTTCTCAAATTTATAGTGTTTACCTTTTACATGACGAAATTTTGTCCATATTCCGAGCGCGTTTTCGAGCAGTTCGACTGTAGTGTGTGTAAAGTTTGGTACTGTTGGAGAGGGCTTTCCCTAGAGAGTCTATTTGTAGCGGTGATATCATTGACTGGATGACCTCTAGCCTGTTCCAGGCCTCAAAAGGAGATAAACAACTCTCCTCTGTTACGTTGAGAAGCTGTGTCTCGTTTACAAGCAATGCCTACATATGCTTACGTCATAAGACCAGATATAAAGCCTGATAATTACACAATTGGTACTAAATTCTTTCACTTTTAATATATTTTACTCCAAAACTCCATCTATTGATCTCATCAAACAAGATGCAAAACTATATTGATCACTGGTCCTACATATTTCTTCAGTCCACCCGTCGCTTTAGTCCTTGGCAATGCGTACCCCTCCTGTGGGCTCTAGCAGGTGGACAAAGAACAGTTCAGCCGGCTCAGCTAGTCTATCATTGCACACCTCCCCCTGGCAGCTCTTCTCAGCTTCCCCATCCTGTCGAGAGATGAGGGCAAAGTCTAGAGCAATCTTTGGCGTATATACCCATCAATTTTGTCAACTTTACGCAAAGGTTGTCATTCTTCCTAAGTCCTAATTTACTGTGTAGTTTTGCACTGATGTATGGAGGAAAATATCCCTTAACTTACACAGTGCATAAACTGATGGGCAAAAATCAAAGACAATTTTTTAATGAATCACATTTGTTGTAAAACTCTTAACTTAGATTTAGACTGACATAAGACACAAGTTTTTTTAGGGGGCTGAAATGCTGGTCTGCTAGTGAGAAAAACTTCAAACTTACTACATGTACTTGCTTCTGAAGAATTAAGACAATATTCATTTTCAAAATGATGACACTTACAAACCTGTAGTAACTTTAACTGTTTGACATGTGGTTGTGGATGATTGATTCAGAAACCGTCTCACAAATCTCAAAATCATCTGCTTGCTCTAACAAAACCTTAAATAGCCAAAAAACCCTAAAGTGTCACAGTATGGTGGGACGACACTCACCCGGAATGTGATCTTCATGCCCACCACTGGGTAGTCCAGACCGGCTGTGACGTGGGGTCTATCCTGGGTAATTGCCAGGGAATTCTCTGGTGTCTGAGGGGCGGGAGCTCACACTACCCTGCCAGCTAGGGCTCCCTTCTGCCAATTATTCAAACTCTGACCCCAACCTCCTCATGGTTGCCACCTCAAAAAAATTAAGGCAATTACATTTCAGGAATAGAAATCAGCACTCCTTTCTGTGATGACAAGCCCGTAAGATAATTCATTGGCACTCTTCAATGAAAAATTTATGAATAATTAAAATCACATGTCCAACTTTAACCTGGTCTCCGGACTAAAAGATCTAGACTTCTTCTAAAAGATCTAGACTTCTTTGAGAGATCTTTAGGTGTGGTAGCTGCCACAGTCCTGTCAACAAAAAGGGGGGGGGTCTTTTCTTCCAACAGTAGGCCTAGGCCTTGTTCAAATTTTACAAAACTACCGGGTGTCAGAAAATGACATACATGTATGTAGGGCCTAGGCCATGAAAAACAACTTCTGACATGTCTGAATATATATGTCTGAATATGGCAGCAAAATCGGGAAGAGAGTATAGAACGAGACGGATACAGTCGTCCGCCTTTTTTGGTAGGTTAGCATCTAGGGGCCTACCTGCTCCTACCTGATCTCTGGATGTTCATCAGTGTGATATGCTTGAAACCGGCTTCGCTCTCGGCTATCTCGATCTCGTCGACGCGTCATGACGCCTCAAGGTTCGCGTCCATTCTCAGCACGCTGTGGGGACATTGCTACCCTGGGCCGTTTTCCAATACTCGGATTGGGCTCCACGCAGACTTCAACTGTTTTTTTTTTACTTCCTGACTTTGAGGTTGTAAGCGCAATAATAAGTCTGATGGTGCCACCAAACATCAAGTAAGATACAAAGAGCCAAACATTACAGTACTTCAATTTCAGTTAAACGCTTCAGGCTCACAATCGGGGATTTAATTTCCTACACGAAGCCTGAGACGAAGACGAAGTTGGGTATTGGAAAACGGCAACCCTGGATAGTCACCTCAGAGACAGGGTACCTGGAGCTACTTGGGCTGGTGCCTGGCAGGGGGGGGGCACACAGTAAATCACATACACCGGTCACCATAGAATTGAAAAAAAAAAATAAATAAAACTGGTTAGCTTTTCACTATTTGGAACGCGACACCATTTCTTGGAAACAATAAAAGCGCTGTTGCTAAAATGAGGAAAAAGAAACAATCAACGTACAGACGCCATTGGAGGAAAGTGTTTCTGGTTCCCGAACGATTTTGAAAAGTTGGCATCGCTATGAAAAAGATGACGCTCGATTGAATAGTCCTACTTTAATTCCACCAACCTGGCTCTGTTCAATGCTTGAGAGGATGATTTTTATCAAGGCAGCTAGATTAGCCAACAACAGAAAGTGCAAGACCGTATTCCCAGTAAAGGCGCCCCTCCCAAATTAACAAAACAGTTAAAATGCTGCCTCATCCTCAGGGATTGCTACTTCTTGCACACTGCTAGACACCATGGAAACGAGGCTGAGCAACCACGACAAACTAATTGTCTGTCAAGTGAATAGTTAATTTGCTCAAGTGGTGCATTTTTTTAAAAGACAACTAACAAGGAAGTTGAAACAGAATGAAGTAATGACCATTTTCATAGTTACAGTTGGGACCAGATTGCATCTGAAAGAGCGCCAATAACTGTTCCTAAAACCTGTTTTTTTAATATGCCCCAAAAAACCCCAAAACCAACCCCCCCCAAAAAAAACCCGCCCATTGTAATAAAGCTATGTTTTTCAATAAGTCAATGCGCAGTAATATACCGTATTATCTCGGCGTCCCCAATTTCAGTCGTTTTCTTGAACATACAGTATAAATTTGAAAGTGTATGGGAAGTTACGGTGATTTTGGGGGTTGGAATGGCATCGTAAAATAGTCTGGTTCTTTGAATTTAACGTTTCCTAATAAAAACCCTACCTTGGGGAATATGACTGACATTCAGGACACCGCAAATACGGTCTTTTTAAGGATCTTTGCGAACGAAGACCCAACATCGTTAATGGCAGGAATAAAATATCAAATCAAGGCTCTGAAATATGTGATTGCCGGTAACTTTCGGTAACTGAGTACCTTCTTCAAGGCAAGCAGATTCAGTCGGACATTTACGCCATGTTTGGGGCGTCACATTGGCGCGTGTACATGCAACCAGGGAAACGCGTGCGTTCACCAGGAAGCGTTTGTGTTTGGCGTTGTAGTAACACAAATCAGACCCCTCACGGGTTTACGTGAGAACAGACGCTCTTGAAGCTATTGCAGCTTTCTATCGAGAATTCTGATCAGCCAGTCACTTTTCGCTAGTTTTGCGATTTACTAAAGGACAAAACACACACACACACACACACACAGAAAGTATCATAAGAGATCTCCTTGGAATGAGTCGAGTAAGGTTTTATTCCATATTTCTTTAATCAACCAAGCGCCTGTATTCTTTAACACTAGCAGGTATTCATTTAGAGTCAAATAAATATTTAAAACTTATGGAAAAAATATTTTAGGACAGACTGAAATTTAAATCCATAGGTAAGGAAGAAAAAATGTGCATTTTCCAGTTGCAGTTCTTACAGAATACCAATTTCATTGATGTAATAATTCGTACGATTAAACGTTTTCATATTCATTAGTTTGCATGTTGCCTGATTTTAACGCTGTGCCCGTGTTTCCAATAAGTTACTTTAATTTTCCAGAGTGGTTCATTGTCGTCAAAAAGGAAAGAGACATCCGAGAAGATGTACGTCCCAAATCTTGAACAGAATATTCTGATCATACAAAATGCCCCGATTTTGGAGTTATGCAAATATTTATCATAAAAGAGCGGCACTTTATATCTTAGGATTGCTAGCTTAGAGTATCCCAGTGTAGCTTATTTGGTATGACAACTGTCGAGTCAGTAATCATACCAGGAGCAGTTGCCAATGTTTTCAAAATATAACATCTTTTTGCAAAGATGCCATAACTAATACAAAAGTAAATGCCGCTCGAAGTATCACACAAAATACGGTCGTTTATTTACAGCTTAGTTCATGAACTTCAGATTATATTAAAACAAAAATGCTTTGGTTGTCTTAATTTGTCATAATCCGTTGAAACTGATTGGATTTTTCTTCACGCTGGGCTACTGAGTGATCATTACTCACACGGTGAGACATGTGTGGATTGTGGACTACCCTCAAGGAAGTGTCCAGTAAGTGACTACAGTCAGTTTTGTATGATATCGGTTTACTCAATTTAGCTTTACTGATAGCCACGACCAATTAGTTATAAAAGTGGTACATGGTTATATAAATTAATCATTTCAAAGGGATTGTAATATGAACTCTATCGAAAGAGTAAAATTGTGTGTTCAAACAGAACTTGAAGGTTTTTATCTTCAGTTTCATGGAAGCTCTACTTTTCGTCTTTTCCAGCACTGGAGGTGCCGAAGGATTCGCCAATTACAAGGAAATGGGTAAGAGAGCATGGAAACATTTATTAGATATTTTATTTTATCGCTATGGGATAAAATGCATTATTCACCAAAACGCACGTCGTTT